TTGGCCGAGGGTGGGTGCTGTGCAGTACCGTGTGCTTTCCTTGGGGTGCTGGAAGCACAAGCCGCGTGAAGCCACTGCACCCTCTTTTTCACCATTCAGGGAACTAAAGGAGAAATGGGTTTTGATTGTTTCTTGCTGGTGGTGGTAGTTCCCAGGTTAAGGTTGAGAGAGCTGGGACTGTTCGTCCTGGGGAAGAGAAGGCTGAGAGGAGACCTTGTAAATGTCTGTAAATATCCAAAGGGTGGGTGCAGGGAGGATGGGGCCAGACTCTTTTCAGTTGTGCCCACTGACAGCAAAAGGGGCAGCGGGCACAACCTGGAGTATTGGAAGTTTCATTTAAATACCAGGAAGAACTTCTTCACTGTGAGGGTGTCAGAGCCCTGCCACAGGCTGCCCAGGGAGGTTGTGGAGTCTCCGTCTTTGGAGGCTTTCAGAACTCACCTGGATGCCATTCTTGGTGATGTGCTCTAGGCAGCCCTGCCTTAGCAGGGGCATCGGGCCAGATGGTATCTGGAGGTCCCTTCCAGCTCTGACAATTCTGTGGTTCACAGCCGTGGTGTGGCCCAGACTGGGGAAGGGAGCGGTTCCTGGGCACGTTCAGGCTCGCTGCGTGGGGTCCTGACGAGGCTCGGTGTGTTGGTCACGCTGCACAGCAAGCTGTAAGGCTGTATTCTCCATTTGCTTACTCGAGGCAGGCATCAGCTACCACCTGTGGCACAGCGCGATGTGAGCCTTTTCTTCAGAGCGAAGATGAGATTTGCCCCAGCAGAGAACTCCAGCCCTGCAGCACACAGCGCGGGGATCCCGGCTCCAGAGTGGGTCCAGGCCGGGTGCGGGCCACAGCTTTAGTCCTGCGGCCTGTTGCCATTGAAAAGAATAAATAAAATCACCAAAGGAGTGAACATCACAGTGTTCCCAGAAGTTTGAACGTCCTGGGCACAACCTGCAGAAACTGCTTTTTCTAAATACAAGGAAGCCTGGATGTTAGATAAGAGGGGAAAAAAAGAGTGGTCATTGCAAAGGCGTGAGGAACTATGACCTAGATTCTCTTTATAATGGATACGGGGACTTAATCATCCAGTCTTGGGTTTTGGGCAGTTGCTTATGAAGTGAGACCACACTTTCAGACTGGTGAGTGCTTATTCAGGCTGATTTACTCTGTAGTGAACTGCAGTGTTCGCATGGACTTAATTCTGCTTTGTATGGAAGAGATTTAGCCAGATTATGTCAGATTCTCTGATGTGAAAGGCATAATGGAAAGATAATAGAAATAGGTAAGGGAGCTTTGAGCATTTGTCATTTAGTACTAAAAAATAAGGAGCATTGGACCCTGCAAAATTCCTGCAGAATAGGAAGTCTGGTGGGTTTTGATGCTCTGACAGCTTGAGGCAGCAGTTCAGGTCATTGCAGAGTTTCCATAGGGCTGTGTACATGAAAATAAACATGATCCATTATGTGAAAATAAATACAACAAGAATTGCTCAGATTATGTAGCATAAAATCTGTGTATAATGAATGATTTTGGAAGCTGCTGGTAGTTCTTGCATACTTTTTATGAAACTTGACAGGTGAACTAGCAACCAGTTCTTCTAGTACTATTTTCTGAACATCTGTTTATAATGGCACATAAAACATTGTTAGAATCTAAGTTAAAATAGCTTGCAAATTGTCTGAGATTGGAAGTAGATCTCTGAATCATTGGTCTTATTCAGTACAGCAATTTTGGTCCTACTAATTCTTGGGTTTTGATTTTTATCTCCTTTAGCAGTCTGGAAATATGTGCTGTTTTCCTTACATTCTAAGGTTATAATGTTTCCTTTCAATTTCTATTTACAGAAGCTGGTGTGCAAACAAATGGGAAAAAAAGGAATCGAGTTTTGAAAATTGGACATGGTGGAACTTTGGACAGTGCAGCAGCAGGAGTTCTGGGTAATGAAAAACATAAGTACGGTCATCAAAGATAATTTCAGGAAACATTTTCGTGCCTACATGGAATCACAGGTGGAGGAATAATTTGGGATACACATGGCAGGCTTTGTGGTTTTGAGGCAAGGACAGATTTCGGTGAAAGAGTGGTCTGTGTTTAATTTCCTCTGCTTATACTCAAATTTGTTTCTTAATGGAAGGCTGTATTCCCCTTCCACAACTCCTGAAATAACTTGTGGTTTATTGCGTGAAAATACAGACTGTTGTGTAATGAATTCTGAATTACCCATAAATTGATGGCTTTTTTTATTTAAGCTGGGGGATTTATAGTCATCATAATTTTCTAAGGTATTTGTTCTTAAACTGATGGTTTTCTAGGATTTTGAGGGAGCCATTTTGTGTTATAATACTCTTTTAAGATGTACAATAGTAATTCAGCTGCTTTTTTTGAGGCTTGGCACAGAAGCAGTTTTCACAACCTGTCTTGCTTCATAAAGAAGAGTCATCAAAGAGATTTTGTCTTTTAATTTTGATAGCAATCCATTTATCAGGTTCCTTTGTTTTGTTAATGAACAGGACGTATCAGTTGCTGGTGTTGAAAACTCAGCTGTGGGTGCGACCATGGGGCTGGATTATTCCCATATCATACCTTGATACCTACGGTTTGTGGATAAGCAACGTGTAAACTACAGCTTGCTTAAATCAGAGCTTTGCAGTTCTGCTTGGCTAGAAGAAATAACAGCAATACGTTTTTGGTGTTGAAAGTCAACCAGTACAACTATGAGTATACACTGAATGCAAATCCACTGAGTTTTGATGTAATGACTTCTCTCAGGAAGAGTTCTGCTTCCGGAGGTGGTTGTTTGCCGAGACTGTTGCTTGCAGGAGCCTACAGGCTGGCGATGGGCTGTCACCTGTGAACACTGCAAAATAAGCACAGTCTCATTTTGTTCCAATTTCCTGTACTGTGTGGCAGCTCACTGGAGAATACTGGGTTTATTGCTGGAGAGGACATTTTCGTTTTACACAGATCTTCTTGAGCATGGTACCGCTCGTTGTGGGAAATCAACGGCATTGCTCCATGGGAAAAGAAAAATCACTCATCCTTCCTAATTGCTTCTCCTACTGTTCTCTGATATCCAGCCATCTCCAAAGCCTGCTCCTGTGGCATGACAAAAAGTACTTGGGCTTGACATGCTTGCTAAAAACAGAGAAGTGCATCCCCTTAATATGCAATGAATCAATTAAAAAAAGGCACAGGATCTTTCATTCCACTGCTATACAAAACACAGAGAAAAATCGATGGTAGGTAGGTTGGAAATGACAAAACTGGAAAGGAGCAGGAAGAAAAACGTGCTCAGATTTCTTGTAGGTTTGGGTAAGATAATGAGGAGAGAGAGGAGGAGACAACAGAAACAAATTATGTGGAAAATATGTGCTGCTTTTTGGGATAGGATGGTGGAGCAGAAAGCTTTCTTCCGTCACAAACAGTAGTATAATAGAAGTATTTATTTTCTGAAACTTTTAATCTCTATTTATACTGCATTTTCCCAGATTTTATACACTATGTGTCTATAACTTAGTTCATAGGAATTTGTTGATAGAGTCATATTTAGTGTGCCAGGTGTGCTTTTCGTCAGAAAATACACCATATTTCTTTTTCTATTGACAGAAAATGTAGATGAGGAAGGACCTTGAAGACAGAACAGTGATCTATGGCACAAGTCAAAGTGGTTACAGTTCAATGTTTCTTGCTGTACAATGGACATTGTAAAATTGGACTCATTTCAACATGGCACTTAGGAATTATGCTTCCATAAGAGAAGTGTCTCTTTAAAATTATTCTACTGAATAATTGAATAATTCTCTTGGCACTCCAGCAAATTTCAGCTCAGCAGTTACATCGGAAGTGTCAGTGATGTCGTCATGTTGCAAGAAAAGTGCTTGGTTATATAGTTTCATCTATATGCTTATCTCCTTTTCTCAGACTTGTCACAGCTCCTTCCTGTCTGGCAAATGTAACAGGAACAGGCTGAACTGAAGGTGCACAAAAGCACAAGCACAAGGGCACATGTGACTAAAGGCACTCAGGAACAAGAGGAGAAGTAAGCAAGAAGTAATCTAATAAGTCTCAGAGTGTAGAGATTGAGCATCATTAGAGCAGAAGTATTGTGGTTTATTTAAAAAAAATTTTAAAAATCATTGTCACCTTGATGCTTTTGGTACTGGATCCTGGTTAATACAAAGCTGATTTCCTGCAAGCTCCCCTAACTCCTGTAGTTTTATTAAAATCGAGGACATAACCTGTTATGCATTCTGTAATTTGTACACCAAAATAATTTCCTTCTAAAATTTTCATTGCTTCTTTGGACTGCTGCACGTGGAGAAGATCAATAGGAAAGCATATTCAAGGAAAGCACCTTGTTGTAAAAACTTTTAAAGCATAAGTGGAGCTCTTTTTCTGTCTTTTCATAAAAGCTGACTCATTGCTGTTTTGCAGAATACTGGTTTAAGATTGAAAAGACACTAGTCTCTACATGCACAATAATAGGAAGGCTTGATTATAAGAGATTTTTTGTAGAGGAAATTGGACTTTTTTGTTTATTTTAGCTTTTTGCTGTAAGCCTAATAAACAATTTCATTATGCTATCGTGGCTGTCTTACTCTTGGTCACTATCAACCTTTAAAAGGGCTATTTAGTTACGGTGAAGGCCAGATTGATTATTAGTGAGCCATAGCCTTCATCAAACCAGGTGGTACTTATTGCACTATCCATTTCTGGGGTGATTAAAAGATAAATAAACCTAGGGGCTGAATTAAAGCATTTTAACAATAGGCAAAGCTTATTTGTCTTCTGATTTAGGCTTTTTTGCCTTTCACCAGTCCTCCATTGCTTGATGGAGACATGCTTTCTTCTAAGTGTTGACTCTCTTTGTATGCTGACAGAGCACGAAAGGCTGTACTTCTGACTAGCATAAAATTTAGTGGTCAGTTATGTTGAATAAGGGAACTGCAGAGCTGGTTTTGAAGTGGCATTTCTCCTTCTGTCTTTGCAGTGGTTGGTATTGGAAAAGGAACAAAGATGCTGAGAACTATGCTGGCAGGTTCCAAGGTAAGGAGTGATAAACGATTTGTATTAGTGGGTTCTTTTTGTTTGGTTGGTTTTTAGTTTCTTCCAATGAGGAGCTACTGCAATGTAAAAATATCTTGGCCATCCTGTGAATTTAGGTTAAATGTGCACTTCAGTTACTTTTTGTATTTAGTCAGAAATTTGATATTAAGACTTTTATGTCCAGAATGGTTAAGAACTTTGTCTTGTTTATTCTACAAAACATTAGTAAAGACCAAAATCCTATTTTACAGGAAGATTTCTATACTATTTAGTGTTGGGGGTTTTTTTAGAATGTTTTCAGGATATAATTGTGTATGATGATTCAATTTTTGGTCATTTTCCTTACATGTAAGTAACATAATTGTTATTTAGCTTGCAGTGATAGATGGTCTTTGTGTCTCTTCTACCACGAGGCCTTGATTCTACCTTTTGGAATTAAGAGTGATTTGCATTGGTGGGTGTAGCTGTCGTTCCAGATTGCAGCTCCTCTAAACAAGTTCGCTCCAAATGCCTGGGCAGGCAGGTGTCAGGAGCCAGAGGTAATCAAAAGCCCTGAGGCTGCAGGAGGTCACCCGGACTGGAGCTCTGTCAGATCGCAGTCTTGCTCAGTGCTGATTCTGATTAACTGTGCTGTGGTTTTTGGTATGTGCACTTCATGGATGTTACATATGCAAACAAGTGCATGTGCTCCCAAGAGTAGTGTTGATTCCTTCTTTGCAAGTAAAATCCTGTGGTTTTAGCCATTATTTGTAAATGAGAAGTTTAGGTAAGGATGACAGATGCAGAAATCAGTTAAGCCTTCCAAATTTCATCTTGCACTCAGGGAAAGACAATAGTGGGCTCAGCAATTGATAGCCTTTCTAATGCATTTTGTTCTGCTCTTGTCCCATTCTCTTCTGGTCTGAGCACTTAATCTCTTCACAGGTGCTGAACTGGTAGCTTGAAGTAGACTTTGATTGACAATCTGCAGTGTGACTCAAAGGCAAAATAATTGGACAGAGAGACTAGAACCAGGATAAAAGGACGTAGCTATAGGGTGTGATCCAAAACTTAACTGTAGTCAGTGTCAGTCTCTGCACTGACTGTGAGGGGTTTGCTGTGATGTGGTTCATAGGACCAGATTTCAGAGCCATCTGTGTTTTGGAACATGCAGTAAGTGGCTGGAGCTGGTTTTGCAGTGGATGTGTGAGCACTCAACACCTGACATCTCTGTTCGAAGAACTTTTAAGCTAAAAAAGGCATCGAGATACTTCAGCTAAATTAAGACATCATAGCTAATGGTTGATTTAAAAACGCGTAATGTGATTGTCCTCAGAGAGCTCCAGAAGGCTTATAGCTGCTGCTGAGAGGCAAGAGAGGGGAACACAGAGGAGAAGTGGGTAGGATGGGGAGTGCGGGCAGTCTGGTCAGCTGCCCCAGCTGAATCCATCAGCTCTCACCTGACCTCAGGCCGGTGTAGGCTGTGGGGACTCGATTCGACAAGACGACCACAGTGACACCCTCACAGCAGATCAGCTTTTCCACTGCAGCACCCGTTGTCTTCTGATGTCGCGGACAGTGTCAGGAAGTCAGCGTCCCTTTGGAGCTTGTCTTGCCTCCGCTTTCTCATTTTCTATTTCTACTTCCATAAATAAGGCACACAATAATTGGAGAGGCTTAAGGAGTCTGAAGGATCTTCCTCAAATATCTTCCTATTTGTTTTTTATTGATCACACTGACACCAACAGCTCATAATGTAGCGAGAGATCTGATACACAGAATCACAGAATGTCAGGGGTTGGAAGGGACCTCAAAAGATCGTCTAGTCCAGCCCCCCTGCCAGAGCAGGATCACCTACAGCAGGTCACACAGGAAGGCGTCCAAGCGGGTTTTGAATGTCTCCAGAGAAGGAGACTCCACAACCTCCCTGGGCAGCCTGTGCCAGGGCTCTGGCACCCTAAGGGTGAAAAAGATTTTCTAATATTTTTGCGGAACCTTCTATGTTCCAGCTTGTACCCATTGCCCCTTGTCCTGTCATTGGACGTTGCTGAACAGAGCCTGGCTCCATCCTCTCAACACTCTCCCTTGACATATTTATAAACACTAATGAGGTCACCCCTCAGCCTCCTCTTCTCCAAGCTAAAGAGACCCAGCTCCTTCAGCCTTTCCTCGTCAGGGAGATGTTCCACTCCCTTAATCGTACAGGTAAATCCATGACTGTCTAAATAGGTTTCAGTGTCTTTTTGCATTTCATGCTATGAATCTCTACTTTTATTTCATCCTTTTTACCTTTGTGGATGCTAAAGTGTTTATTGAAGTCTGATGTTTTTATTTTGTTTCTTTCATTACTACAAAGATTCAGATGAACTGTCTGAGATTCTCTGGTTGGGATTTACTGTGTGGTTATAGGAATGTATCTTGTAAAGAAATAGTTTAGTCTATCATTGTTGGCAGCAGGGCTATGCTGAGTGGCCAAAATGTGTGCTACTGCAATAAACTCCATATGGTAGCTCTGCCAGAGATTGGACTATTTCTGATTTTTTTTTCCCCAAGTGTTGTGTGAAACTTTCCTGACTCTATGTGGCAACTCTGAACAGTATCACTTGATTTGCAACTCATACATGTTATACAGCGGGTGTTACTCTTTCAGTGCAAATCTAGTTCTCCATTTGTTTGACCTCTTTATGAATTAACTCAAAACAAATAGAGATTTGCAGCCAAGGGCAATACCTACTTAGTGTTCCAGATTTCTCATTGAGTTCTTAGTACTTACCAAGAAATGTGTTCAAGCTGGCTTAGGTTTTATTTGTTTGCTTTATTTTGCTTCAAATGTTGCAAGTGAGGGAGAGAAGCTGAATCATCTTGGATTTGGAATTTAAGTACTGAGAATTTAATAAATGTTTCATAGGAAAATCACTTTTCCCTCTTGCATTCTGAGACTTAGACTTGGTCTTGCTTGGACTTCTTGCACTGCATTAGTTTGAGAGGAACAGTTTTATCGTGTCTGCAAAATAAAGATAGTAGAATGAGAAAGTATTCCTTCATTAGGAAAATAAATATGATGTGGGTGGGCCAATTTTTATTATGGTAAGTTGTTTCTGAATGACTCATATTGGTGACTAGTCTGTCTGAAGAATAACGTAGAAGTGATTTTTTGGTTGGTTTTTTTTTTGGAGGGAGGAGAAGAAATGGATTAGAAAATGCTAGCAGCACGGTTTCCAAAGTGGAAATACTGATTTAAAACCTCCTGTTTCCCAAAATGTGCTGTTAACAGAGGCAATGAGGGAAATCATCAGAGACTCATCAGAGAAGAAAAAAAAGGAAAGGCAGTAAGTAATGAAATTCTTCATTATTATAATACTTTCCATTGGGAGGAGATGTCTTCCAGTACATACAGCCTTTATTTTTAGATGGGATGAAACAGGGTAACTGAAACTTTCAGACTTCGGTTCTGTGCTTAATTTGCGTGTTTTTCAGTGAGGTAACATCTGGGTTCGCCCCAAGAGAGTTAGAGTTGTATTAGTGTGACTGAAGCCTGAACGTTGCCATCCATCAGAGTGTGCTTGCAGTCACTCCTCTTGCTGAGCAGAGAGCACGGGCATACTGCTTTTATTTGAGGATGCAGCTCCTTGTCATGGTCTACACACAACCTGAAACCCCAAGTGCTCAGTGACGTGAGGGGAATTGCCTGAGTACTTCGTGCTCGTTGCACAAGCTTAGTCAGGGACTAGTTAAAATAGGAAATTTAATCTCGAAAGTTGGGACTTCTCCAGATTGAACACTTGCAAAAAAAAAATAAAAACAATTGCTGGATAGATTAAAGCCCAAATTCCCAATGATCACAAGGACTGGAAAAAGGAGTCTGTGGGTACAATGAAGATTCATCAGTGACATGATATGCGAGAACTTTTATTTGTTACAATTGTTAAAATCTGAATTCTTATCAATCAAGGATGAAGAATGAGTGCTGCCTCAATAATCAGGGCTCAAAACTTGCCAGTCACGCTTGTATCCCATGAGAGAGGGCTTGCCTGAGCAGGAGCCGGTTCAAATCACATAAGAGAATTTCTGAGAGATATGTAGGTAGGTTACTTACTGCAGTGGATTCTGGAATTAGAGTTTGTGTTTTGCAGAATTGTTTCTCTTGAGGATTGGCACCAGATGCTGCAGAAGGAAGTGTCCATAAAGTTGTTTCTTCACCTCCTGTGTGTATTTTACTGTCCTAAAAATTAGACTTTAATTTGTATCCCTTAACTTCTCCCACATACAGGTTGCTAGCTTTCTCCATGAATTAGTTTTTTTTTTTAATTAAGTCCTTAGTTTCTATCTGTTGGCAATGACTTCAGTGAATTAATAATGCATTAAAAGGCACGTCTAGTAGTTCTATAAGGAGCAGAACTAATGAAGCCTTTTCTTGTGACTTCGTTTCTTTATGGCTCGTTAGACACCAAAGCCCCATATGGCCTCTGGTATCGAGAAACACAGTGGGGCTCCCTCTGGAGCCTTTTCTTAGTGGAAGCTGCAATAGATTTATTTCCTCTATCTGTCTGTTTTCAGGAAGCACGTAAGAACTTGGTATCTCTAAGACTTCTCCTTCCAGCGTTTGCGTATTTGCATGTTAACATGCACACGGGGATGGTGTAAGCACAGTTTCTTTGTAAATCCTATTTTTTTAAATTTTTTTAAGGAGCCTCACTGTGGTTTGGTGTTTTTTATAAAATGTATTTCAAAAGCAGTTTGAGCTTCAGTTAGTGTATTTGAGTTACAAGCACAAGAAAATGGAGTTGACTTTCCTTTTGAAGGATCCTCTTGGTGGTGCCTACTCTTTTCATCTTTTTCTCTGCGGTCTCACTAGCTGAGCTCTTTGCTTTATCTTTCTTTTGGAGCTGCTAAAACCAAGCCTACTTTTTCATACAGTGCATAGTGATGTGTTCTATTTCCTTTTTCATATTCTGGTATTTTTAACCTTCCCTTGGAAGGGCAAGATCTGTGGGTAGTGGTTACACTTTCTATTTGACTGA